GCGGCCCCCGCGGGCCTGCGCCACGGCCCGCCTGGGAGAAGGAAGATTAGCAATCGAGCTTACGTGCTTTGACTTGTCTAAGGTGTAAAACGCTGTCACTGCAGGGTTTGTGAGGAAAATTAAAGCACGTGCATATATGTATATATAATAAGTACAGATACAGATGTGTGAATTTCTATATATAATTACATAAAATTAAGGGCATTTCCAGGCACTACCATTTCAGCAGTCCTCTTCTGACCCTGGCTGCTGTGGCAGCAGTTGAATTAGTGCAGTCAAGCATCGGGAAACCCCCAAAGACAAGAGAGATGAATCGAGCAGCTGGGCAGGCTGTTCTTAAATACAGCCAGCTACTGCAGGACTCCATGGCAGGGAGCTGCCGCAGCTTTGGAGAGGACTGAACTGCAGCACAGGCATCCAACATCTCTGCTAGCTCATGCACATACCCATCCTTGTGAAGCAGCTTAATCTGAGGGTCACGAAGCTCTTTGATTCTTATCCAGGTAGCCATACTGAAAGGAATCCTTCCCTAAGAGGGAGAATGCCTGATTTGTAGGGCCTTTTTATACCAGAGAATGATTATTACAATTTTAACATTAATTATTGAAAGCATGGCAGTAAATGCATTGTTGGTCATGAAGTGTAGCTTCTAAATTTCAGGAACTGTCATGACAGCAAAATTCTGGGGAAGATGTGCTTTTCTGTCAATCCAATTCTGTATAGTTTTGTCAGGGACAATAGAGGAGAAGGCACAGCATGTTGTATGAGAGTCAGCAGGTTGGTCAGCATATTAAAGGAATTTTCTTGACTGATTTATTTTTTAAGGTAAAGCTCTATTAAAGCAAAAGAACACTGTCGAAATGCGTGTACATGAGATGCTTCCTTGTCACTTGCAGAGTTAGTGTGCTGTGTCCATTCATCTATATATGTGTATATATGGTATGAATACATATCTCTATATTTACATGTACAAATAATATAATTTAGTACGTGTACATTATAGATATGTAAATGCCAACAAGAAAATTTTATAGTACGTTCAGGGATTTGGAGATGAGGGATTAGTTCACACATCCTTGAATTAAAGTACACTGTTGCAAATAGAGATGTGCCTGTTGAAGAAAAGTCAAATGGTCTCATAAATTCTCCTAAGAGGGGCAGCTTTTTATGTAGACTATGGATAAGTACATGAGGTTATAGTTTTATTCTCTTTGTTTAAGTATACCTGTTTTCCATAATTAAAAGTTTAAACCAACTTTAAAGGAAGAGTGTAAGATGCAAAAATTGATCACACATTTATGAACATGCAGGAACACCTAGTGATGTTGTGACTTATTTCTGGTAATTTTAAAAGTCTAGTTTGGAATTTCATTTTAAAATTGTCATCTAGGTGCCTGTGGGGATATCAGATGGTTGCTTTGGTGGCAAATCCTTGAATTTTCCAGCACACATGGGTAACATTAAGTACAAGAATAATGCTTTTGATTTCATTGAGGTTTTTCACGTGCTTAAATTTCAGGTGCATCTATGTAATGGGTTGCAGAATTGATACTTAAAGGGACCAAGGGGGCCTGAATAATCTAAAAGTTTTTATGAGTGTGAATCAGTTGTGTGTCGAGGTGTGTTCTTGCTTTAAGTGCTTTGGTGAAGGACGTGTGCATTAGCTTGACATTCTAGGTTTGTATTCAATGTGTCTTATAACTGATACATTGCGCTGTAGAATATTGAAATCCAAGTTATTTTTTTCTCATTGGTTTATTTTTTTCTCAAATATAGGATGAAATAAGAAGAACTAGGTTATTATTACAAAACAATGGAAAGACACTAAGTGAGCCCACACAGAATGATCAGGTATTTTGGAGTGCATTTTATGGAAGAGAGAGGTGTCTTTTTTTCATGGCTGAAACAGTTGCTGTTAGTATAAGATCTAGCAGACAGAATACTGAGATTCAGACACAAGGGATAATGCAAGAAAAACTCACTACTACAGAGATTTTTCTGATCTTTGAATCTAGTAGGAATTTCTTTGGATGACTACTGGTACCAAATTGCAGTATTACTATCCTGAAGAATGCTAGGTTGTGTATCATGTAGCTGAGTTTAAAAGACGCTCTCAGATCACTCTGGGAATCACTGCTTTAAGCCTGTCTGTCCTCAGCTGGGATGATATAGGTAGGTGATATATGTAAAATACTTACTGAGCTCATTTTGAATCTTTGATGTTGCATCATTGTATAGAGGGGAGGTTGGTTTGGTTTCACATCTCATAAAATGAGCAGTGGCAGTGCTTGGGTGGAAAACTTACTCATGGAATCGCTGGAAAGTTACTCATGGAAGTGCTAAGCCCTTTCTTCGTTAGGAGGAATCTTTCTTTTGTTTCACTGTGGGCATGGCTCTTCCCATGTGGCATTTAGTACTTTCTTTGTCAAAGGCAGAAAGAAATAAAAACTTCTGTCATTCCATAAAAGCTGAAGTCTTAAGATAAGTGTTTAGGCTTTTAGCAGTATTTAAGAATTGCTGTTTTCTTATACCTCCTAGCTTGACTCTTTAACTTTCTGTTCAGCCATAATGTGTACTTTGGTGCTGTTGCACAGCCCGTGGGATGTCAGTAAGTTACATTCAACAAGGAGTATATGGAGAGAAATTTTAGGGAAAAAATAATTAAAGACTCTTCTGAAACTTGATTACTAACGTAATTTTCAAATTGTTTAGACAAAACAAGCCTTCCTGCTAAGCCTGGTAAGTTTACAAAATATTTAGAAATCTTTTTTTTCTTTCTTTCTTATTCAAGTATGGCAAAGGTGGTCTTGACTTTTTTTTCCTTTTCTTTTTTTCTTTTAAGTCCAGTGTACATCCTGATACAGACAAGATAATTCCTGTTTTGTTTAGACCTCCAGGTAAGTTTTCTTAAGAGAAGTTTTGTGTATGTGACTGAAGCATTGAAGGGGAATAGCTTACAGTAAATAGCCACTGTGATTCCACAGTGATACTCTTCTCTGTACAGAAAACCAAGAAGACCCTTACTTCTGTTAGTTGCATTGTCATGTCTGTTGAAGACCTATTTATTCCTACAGTCCTCCTGCGGAATTTTTCCCACAGTTCATCTGCTCAGCTAGATGGAAATAGTCTCTTGTTTTTGTCACTACAGAATGAGTTCCCAAATCCCTCCACATGTAAAACAGTCTATTATAAGCTAAGTTTTCACTTGATGACTGTGGCTACTGGATGAATTTACTTGCTGTGGTGGCAGATAAAGCCTGCCTGGGGCGATGCTAAGGGAGCTAAGAGAGTTACAGGTTGTTAATCAGGTATTACCATACTTAGGATATTTACTCATTATCTCATATAACCACTCACTGCTGTGACAGTCTTTGTTGTCACCTATCTCTTCTTGAATAGGGTGAGGAGAAGCAATTTTTGTTCAAAACTCAGTTACGCAGTTTCTGAGTAGCCATGCTGAGTGGAGTTCACAGGGGCTCCTTTTGGCTATAAGATGTGACTGGATAGTCTGGCTTCTTGAATGAGGAATGAGAGAAAAAGGTTAGAATTGAAGTTCATAGTGATGGTGGGGTTTTTGTGGGCAGTGTTTTACTTAGAGCTGAAACTAGAGGGGAAAGTAGGGGGAATTTTCTGCTCAGAATCTAGACTCAGCAGTTATTTTTACTGAAATGAAGTTTTCTTTCTTTTTAGCCTTCCTGCCCATATCTCTTCCATTGGTGAGTAATAATGAAAGACGCTTGTGTACCACAGCGCTTACACTTTTCCAAAGCCAGGGGTTGGAGGGAGGGAATAGAAAGTTTTAAGCTGCTTAGCTGTATTTTCAGCAC